GTGTTGATAAGTGTTGTAGTGGATGTGAAGTTGTGTTGATAAGTGTTGTAGTGGATGTGTAGTGGTGTTGATAAGTGTTGTAGTGGATGTGTAGTGGTGTGGATAAGTGTTGTAGTGGATGTGTAGCGGTGTTGATAAGTGTTGTGGTGGATGAGTAGTGGTGTGGATAAGTGTTTTAGTAGATGTGTAGTGTTGTGGATAAGTGATGTAGTGGATGTGTAGTGGTGTGGATAAGTGTTGTAGTGAATGTGTAGCGGTGTTGATAAGTGCTGTAGTGGATAGTTGGGTTGATAAGTGTTGTGGATGTGTAGTGGTGTTGATAAGTGTTGTAGTCGATGTGTAGTGGTGTTGATAAGTGCTGTAGTGGATAGTTGGGTTGATAAGTGTTGTAGTGGATGTGTTGATAAGTGTTGGGACATAACGCCTGATCGCAAGACGCTCGTTGTCTTTTCACTGCACTGTTGTGCCGCTAACGAGAGTGAGACCTCTGACATAATTTAACAGCTTTTATTTGGGTCCAATTGCTTCTTAGAACTTCAGGTTGGAATTCAGATATAATTTTTTCTGCTTTTTTGGAGTCCATACAAAATCCCTGTGGCTTCTATTGGGGTTCAGACATGATCTCGGAGGTTTATGTTGGAGCTCAGATATAATTTCGGTAGCTACTGTTTAACTCCAGACATAATCTCGGTGATGTCGTTGGATCTCAGACATAGTCTTGGTGGTTTCTGTTGATGTATGAAGACCATTTCGCGGGTGTCGGTTGTAATACGTCCGGTAGCACAACACACATAAGTCGTAATTTGTGTCAGCTGCCCAGCGTCACTCGATAACTTTGAGTTTTTGATGAGACTTCGACTTATCATCGACTGGTGGACTCTTGCGTATCTTACGCATTCCTGACGCGAGCCACATAGAGAATGGCAGCTACGCATCGAGTAATGAAGGGTAACTCTTTCATTTTGGGTCGTACTGTTCCCAAGACAATTTGAAGTCATCAAAATAGACTTTTTATGAATATTGGTCAGGGTTAGTTGAGGCAAAAATTACGGATCTTGACTCCAACACTACAAAAAAAAAAAAACTGTCAATAAATAACATTACTCCTCATGTGGATATCGATTGTTTAGGGTACATATGACTATCACAATAAACAGGTGGCACTTTATTCTGATTTCTGAAGAGAGTAGTTGCAGAATAAATGTGCTCACGAATGCTACTTATCGATGCAGAAGCATGTCGCTGTAAAGGATAAACTAGCGTTTGTGACTATGTTTAATTGAGTTAATCACTTTGTTTATACTTATTGTTTAAACGATTTGGTCGGACGAAGGTGCGGCATATTTCATCTAGAACCTAATTTATTAAATTAATTTCAGGAGAATGACAGACTTCAGGCGAAGAAGCTTCCTCTGAGCTCGACACGTTGCCTGGAAGAGAGCGACCAGTGCCCCGATAAGGACCGTCTTGTGAGGTCCACGCCGCTGCTCAATTCCCCTTACGGCCAACCTGAAGGCGATCGAGAATCGTATGAGAAGGAAGGTCTTTATTCAAGTCATGGAAATCAATGGGATAGGCCTACCTCGGCTCACAGCCTTACGTCCCGGACGTATTCAGGCTTCAGAAACCGGCCGGTGTCTCGGGACGTGGCCTGGGCGGTCAACATGAACCCGAACAACAACAACGACGAGGACGCAGAGTCTTGCAGAAAAGGCCGCTGTGGTCGTGACAGTGTGGACGACGAAGGCGGGATTTCGTTCCTATCCGTCCCGAACGTCCCTCTGCGACGACCGTCAACTGCCGACGTTGTCATCGAAAAACTTCATGTGAGTTTTGGCACTCCAAATTTCGTGATTCTAAAAATAAAACCTTTGAAATGATGGTGTATGAATTTAAGTTGTAGGACATGCTTGTGTTCAGTGTAGATTTTCTCTAATAATTTGATGAATATTAGGGAAATCATAAATTATTTTATTAACCAGTTGTTGGTTAAACCTGCGTTGCCAAATCGCATACGGTTAAACAAAGTTTGCATGAACTAGAAAATCGATCATTTATTGAACAATATTAGCAAATATTCTCAAATAAATTACTAATTGTTCCTATTTATTAAGGTTGAGCGAAACGAAGGTGGTGGTTTACTGATATCAGGCGTGGCGCTGTCGCCACACTGTCACTTGACTCTGATCATCTGTGGTGCCTTCTGCCTGCTGGCGGGGATGGTCTTGACTTACGTCGCCTTCGGGCCCGCCAACAACCCTGACCAGACTGTGGCCTCATCAGCAGCCTTAAGGGCGCCTCCACCGTCGACCATTTCTCCGGCAGCCGCGGAAACTTTCGAGGCTGAATTTCAGGTCCCGAAGTTTCTGGAAAATAGTGCCGCACAGACGGGAGCTCTGACTCAGGAAGTTCAGAAAGGGAATGGAGAGAACGAGCAAATAAGCAATGCTTCATCTCATAAGAAACTTGGTCATCCATCGAAAAATTTGCGGATTATTGGCCCCATCTGCATAGCTACTGGATTACTCATGATCGTCGTGGGCATATCGTTCTGCGCGTTGGGACGCAAGGTAATCCATCACATTACATTCTTTTGCTCAGTTATATCGTCCTGTGCGTTGGGACGCAAGGTAATCCATCACATTACATTCCTTTATTCAGTTATATAATCCTGCGCGTTGGGATGCTAGGTAATCCATATCATTACATTTCGCAGTTCACTTATCGTCAATAGTTCCAGTCTCAGGTTCTGAGAACAGCATTGTTCTTCCATTGCATGGAAAGTATAAATTATTTGCCCTAAGAATCAGCAGTCCTGGCAAATCGAATTGCCATAAACTTGACTAAAGGAAGCATATTTTCAAACATAATTTATTTATATAAATTGAAATTCAACGCATAAGCCTGGTAATTAATGAAGTTTTCTTGGTTCAGATCCAGCGCGACGAGCGCGAGAACTCGCGTCTTGAGTCCGAGGCGCAGTTGGACCAAATCCGCCGCAGCTTCTCCATCCCCAGCGACTCCCCCACCAGGGTGCATGCCCCCACCCCCCACCAGGTGTGTACTGTGTACTTCCCCACCAGGTGTGTACTGTGTACTCCCCCACCAGGTGTGTACTGTGTACTCCCCCACCAGGTGTGTACTGTGTACTCCCCCACCAGGTGTGTACTGTGTACTCCCCCACCAGGTGTGTACTGTGTACTCCCCCACCAGGTGTGTACTGCCCACTGCTGAAAATGTATGCGTGTTTTGGTGTGTCTTATAATACAGGGTGTACCAGAATTAACTGACCCTTTTAATTTGTTAATAAATAAAAAACTAAGAACGTTATGAAGTTGAAACTTGTTTTATTTAAAAGAAGAACATTTTTATGGTAATATTGNTCTACTCCAGGCATTGCCTGTGATGTGTCTTTCTCCTCCAGGCATTGCCTGTGATGTGTCTTTCTCCTCCAGGCATTGCCTGTGATGTGTCTTTCTCCTCCAGGCATTACCTCTGATGTGTCTTTCTCCTCCAGGCATTACCTCTGATGTGTCTTTCTCCTCCAGGCATTACCTCTGATGTGTCTTTCTACTCCAGGCATTGCCTGTGATGTGTCTTTCTCCTCCAGGCATTGCCTGTGATGTGTCTTTCTCCTCCAGGCATTGCCTGTGATGTGTCTTTCTCCTCCAGGCATTACCTCTGATGTGTCTTTCTCCTCCAGGCATTGCCTGTGATGTGTTTTCCCTCTCCAGGCATTGCCTGTGATGTGTCTTTCTCCTCCAGGCATTGCCTGTGATGTGTCTTTCCCTTCCAGGCATTGCCTGTGATGTCCCTGCGCAGGAGCTCCTGGTGGATGGATCCTGTATCCTTTGACGCCGTCTCCCCTCCACCGCCGCTCTCCCCTTGCACCACAGCCTCCACCCCTCACTCCGCCCTCTCCTCCAGAGGGCCCTCCCCCAGTGCAGGGTAATATTCCAGTATAGATTAAAAAGAATCCTCATCCATGAAAAATGTTCATTATATTACGTAATTCAACGCTACCGTGAAAATAATACAGTATTTTCAACTTCGGTCGTTCTATACGATCGTGCGTAGCATATACGCGCAAAAAGCGTTTTTTATAATAAGGCTAAAATTAGCCGGCTAAAAGCTCTATCTTAAGTATATGGTACTTAAGTACATAGTACTTAAATACATAGCACGTAAGTGCATGGTTAAGTGCATGACACGTAAGTACATGGGATAGGGTAATTAACGCGGAGCATTTACCGAAATCGAAAGCCTGGCTAATACTACGTTACAATAATGTTAATTTTCAAGGCCTAATTCCAGTGTAACAAACAGCATTTTCTTTCTTCATCAAATTATATTGACAGCGTTTCTTCCATGGCGAATTAAGATTTAATGCAATAAAATTTTGAAATTTAGTGTGGATATTTTATATAAATAACATAAATTCTAGTCTATAGAAATGATTGGATTATGAATTGTAATTTTTTTGTACAAGAATTTCTTTAATTCTTAAAGACACACAAAATGCATAGAATAGCTTGAATTTGAAATTTCTCTGATTAGGAAATTACCTTTTTCTTTGTTGGGTACGAAAATGCAAAACTTGCGATGAGTACAGTACTTTGTACCCGGGATCGTTCTGCTCGTTACTTATAGAGACGTCGCGTTCACTGAAACCTACAAAGATTCACTTTGTTGTCTAGTTTGGCATTTGCCAACGCCATCCATTCTCCCTCAACTGACAAGGCCAATCTTTTACTTTCAGTGTAGATTGTATAGGTCAAGCATCGCTGCAGAGTACGAATGAAGTAAAAGAGTACAAATGAAATAAAAGAGTACAAATGAAATAAAAGAGTACAAATGAAATAAAAGAGTACAAATGAAATAAAAGAGTACGAAAGAAATAAAAGTACGATGTCAGTTTTTCATGAAAATTCTTGGTTCTTATTAACGATCTAAATAACGTGTGTCTTATGGCTATGATTTGAACTGACAATAATTATGTTATTACCGACTGTCCGAGACGACATGCGATGGAGTTCGCTTAGGATGAATGAATGGCGAGATAATTTACCCGACCAGCGCATGCGGGTGCCTGGTATATGGGCATCCATCGTGCACGCCATGTCATCCTTAGGGATACATACGCAACACATACATGACCGTGTCATCCTTAGGGATACATACGCAACAATAACATGTCCATGTCATCTTTGGCGTATATACACAATAGTAACATAACCACTTCATAATTGGAGTATTTAACAAAAATTACGCAACGGTTTCATTATTGGCATGCGGGCGTATTGGTTTTACCGTTCCGTAATTCGTTTTGCTCACGTGCCAATTACATTAAGGTCAACACCATAAATATCAGGAGTATGTATCATAGATTTTTGCCGATGTTTGTGTGTTGTGTATGGTTGAAGCGCTAGCCGTATTTACATATACATGGCTGCTCGGGCGTGTTTCTTCGATGTATTGTGTTGAGAAATCAACCTTAACATTTTTTATTGAATAAATGATAGAGCTAAAACACTGTTGTAGTTTGTTGTTGCGTAAAAATAAAATTTAAAATTAACATTTCATTTTTTAAATTGGAATTTATGCCCTAATTTAATCCGTATATGTACTACGTGCTGAAAGTGTGTCACTACTTGGGCAAAATGAGTCATTAACTTTTCAGAGAGCAGATTTAAGTTAGGCAAGACCTGATCAACCGATAACTCTGCGGTGTAAATATTATCGACGGGTTATGGGTGGCCAAAGGTCAGCCGACGATGATATGGCTTTTATTTTGTACAGGATATTTGCTGTGCTTCTAAAGTTGAAATAACAACTATCATCACATATTTGGTGGTTGTATATAATATCATCATTATTCAATTATTGAAATTATTAGTGATGAAAAACCATAGCTTGATATTGAGGCTCTGCTTCTCGATGTAAAAAAACAATCAAATGATCGATTGAGCTCATTAAACTGAAGAAAATTTTTACATTGCAATCAATATCAATTATCAAGGACTTATAACTATGGAGAAAATAATTTACGAATTAGTACGTTATCTGTTACTAGCTAATTAAATAAGAATTAAGATTACAGTTTTTTCAGCAAAAATAATTTAAATAATCGGTCCTGAATTAACATAGGATAATTCATTAGCAGCTTTATTACTTCACTTAAAAATTGCTTCCCTGATTCGAAACTGAAAAGTTTTATTGTGGCTGGCTGCATAAAAATTGATTTTATTGATAACTTTAAGCAATAATCACGTAGTCAAAATTAGCAAACACCGAGTTAAAATTAATGCCATAATAAATTTACATGAAAATACCTAATTGCAAGCAAAGTAATAAAATAAATTACACAATACATAATAAGTGATAGTATAAGGCAGGCGATATTTAACATGAAGTATTTTTTCGTAATAATATCTAGCGCGATATTTTCATTATTTCACAAAAAAGTTACTATTAACCGGAGAATTTTAGTGTAATTGTTGTAAGATATCGGAAATCCTTAATAAATAATAACATATTATAAGAATGAGCTGGGAGCCCTGTACTACGTATATGTTTACGGCAGATCACGGCCGGGCACCGGGCACTACGCCATGCCCGTGTGGGCGCCGCCTGAGCGCCGGGATGTCGCCTCCTTTCCGCCCGACGACTTAGTGCCTCCCAGGTGACGCATTATCTTAACTCGGTGACTCGTTATCTTAGCTCGGTGACGCATTATCTTAACTCGGTGACGCATTATCTTAGCTCGGTGACGCATTATCTTAACTCGGTGACGCGTTATCTCAGCTCGGTGACGCATTATCTTAACTCGGTGACGCATTATCTTAGCTCGGTGACGCAGTATCTTTGCTCGGTGACGCATTATCTTAGCTCGGTGACCCGTTATCTTAACACGGTGACTTATTATATAAGCTCGGTGACGGATTATCTTAGCTCGGTGACGCATTATCTTATATCGGTGAAGATAATGGTGGGATATACATTATCATACATTATCTTGGTGACGAAATATCTTAGCTCTAGAAAAATGCCGTTTCTATTGATTCTCAAGCGCTGAATAATTATAGATATGCATTTGAGAACGCTATTTTTTTGCACAAATGTTCTCTTGATATAGTTTAGAGATATTAAGAGAACTGAATTAAATTGCGTTTTATTTCACTTAATGCGGATATTAACTAACAAATTATGTATATGCGTTATTTGGATTGTTGGGTGGCTGGGCCGTGCTGAGCGCGTGTGGCAACAGTTGACTGTCGTTGCCATATTATCTGGAGAGAAGAATTTATTTTTTTTGAGCAGCAAATAATATCAACCTAAAATCGTTCATACTGCATAAAAAATACCGTATAACTGTAGTATGCTTTCTCGTACCTCTCCGCATTGGAACCACTATGGCTTGTCCAATATGCATTCATCGTACCCATTCTCTGAGTTCTGATATAATTAATTAAAAGGCAACAAGCACTATGTCGTGGCTAATAAGTTTCTTATTTTCCAGTAAACTAAAACGAGTTACGATGAATGCACCGGACGAGGCGCGCACGGTCGAAGAGGTTGCGGGTGGCAATTCATTCACAGAAACTTTCAAGTTCCGCACAGAAATGAACTACGGCGACCTGACGCGCGCGGAAACTTCGCCGCCAATTTTTGGAGGCAGTTCAATTGTTGCGGACGGGGCAGTGAGTCCGCAGCCAGCGCAACGCAACGCCAGTCTACAGCGGTCCAATGTGGCGAGGCGGACCAGCGTCGTGGCTGTGGCGGACCACAACATGCCTTTCCAAGTGCCCGTCATACAGGTATGATGCCTTTCCAAGTGCCCGTCATACAGGTATGATGTGTGACATGCCTTTCCAAGTGCCCGTCATACAGGTATGATGTCTTTCCAATAGCCCGTCATACAGGTATGATGTAGAACATGCCTTTCCAAGTAATTAACACGTGTATTCACGCTCGCCTCAGTATTTCTTGTTTGGTTCAATAAGCAGGAACAGTTATAGCCTTCCACATGTAACAGTCAAAAGATACAGGGTATGTGAAGAGCCGGCATTGCAACAATTACATAGGAGTTATTAAGAGATGCGCTTTCTCTGCCAAGTTTTGCGCTAATGTACGACTGTTTTACACCAGCTATTATTGTTCAGAACTTTCTATTAGAGAAGATATACTGGTGCTCAGTGATTTTTGAGAGCTGCTGCCGCATGTGGGACGGCTGTAGCCGTCAGCGAGCGTGAATGTGTTAATACAACTTGAAATGATTATCCTCATTAGCGTAATATTTTATTTAATGCAAAAAGTAAAGCTTAAGGTAACGCAACAATGAACTAAAATGAGCACATGTTGCAGGTGACACCAAGCAGCTGTTCCAGCTCCGCCGCGCAGTCTGTCGCTGCATCGCCGCGTCCGGTCTCAGACCGCTCGCTGGACATGTGATCCTGCCTTGTGATTATTTAGATACGTCGCTACTAAACTACCGTAGACAATAATTATACCTTACAATAATATTTATACAATATTATACAATATATTATATTGTTTAATATTGTACAATATATTATATTTATACAATAATTTACACCGCAAGTTCAGCGAGAATACGTCGCTACTAAATTACCATAGACAATAATTATACCTTACAATAATATTTATACTTATATCATTGGTCTGCTTAAACCGCAAGTTCACCGAGAATACGTTGCTACTAAATTACCATAGACAATAATTATACCTTACAATAATATTTATACAATATTATACAATATATTATATTGTATAATATTGTACAATATATTATATTTATACAATAATTTAAACCGCAAGTTCAGCGAGAAATTTAACATGAAAGAAATCGCTGAGTAAGCTCGCCATCTCTTTATCGTAAACTTGTTTGATGGAGATGTAGTAATTTATTTTGCAAATGCATTGCTTTTAATTTAATATTGAAATATTGAATTACAAAGAATACAATGTTCCTGTCATCGGTCTCGCCCCATAGGTTTTGACTTCGTTCAAATTTGGAAGTAATGAACTCGGTGCATGACGCATGGTATGATGAAGTGCACTGTATGTTTATTTTATAAATACAATAAGTAAAGCGAGGTTATGTAAATAATTAGATTCTGTCACTATAAGTCTTATCATTAAGAGTTTGGAACCTGGAATTAAGTTGCTAGTCGGCGATAAACATCATTCAGAGGAGAAACGCTCACGAACTACTCGTAAGTCTACGGATAACAATTTACAAATTGGAACATGAATAAAGTATATTCAATATTATTCAGTGAATGGGGATCAAAAATTCTTAAATTAATATTTATAGATTACATCGCTTTTGGGATAAAATGGACTGTTTCTATAGTTATTTATAATGATATTTACGAAGATGTGTCCCATTACATTTTATATAATGTGCTCTAGTCCTCACCTATATAATTGAATGATTTCCAAAACGTCCTTGGGAAATGGACTAACAGAATATTGGTTAATTTGATTTTTATGGTGAATTATAAGCGATCTCATTTGTACTGCCTTATATTCTTAGAGTATGTATAATACAAGAGAAGATGCACACCAAGACAATTTGTCATTAGTAATCATGCGAGCAACATGTGCAGTAATTGTGATGTGTATTTGATTATGACGCTGTGTTTTCATTTTATATTCAGATGATACAAGGTATTGGAATATATATCAATGACTCAGAACAAAGTAAAAGAAAAATCTAAACTGTTTTTCTGTCGATATGTTTGATCAATTACACAGTTACTTGCTACGTGTTAGTAATTCTGGATAATAATCTAAAGGTTAGTACTGAATGGCTATGGTGATATAAAGGGGGGTTACTGAACGGTAATGATGACTGCTCGATAGGTGATGATAGCTGATACTCGATGATGATAAGCAACTCAGTGTATATGATCCACACGTGCATTAATATTTTTATGATGTCAGGTGGAATTATGTGCCTCTGATTGTGCGACGAAAACAATTCTAATAATTAGCAAGCCCGTATCCAATTGGCTGCAAAACTATCAAGTTTCGAGCAGCGAACATTGTCAATTTTGACATTAATTCAGTTGTTATTCTCATACCGACGGAAGACACTTAATTGTATGTAAAATATAACATAATATAGAATAAGAAAGACGCTAGAAAAATTTCAACGATTTTTGAAGTACTTAATGTCTCTGAAAATTCATCCATTGTAAATTTCACAAGTAAATATAATTTTCAAGTAAAATGGAATTGACAATGTGACTAATATAATCGTGAATTATTAAATTTAGCACTGCTGAGTCGGCTCAGTTTTTCTTCATCTCATTGTAGAAACCGCAGATATTGAAGACTTATTAATTAAAACGTATTCAGATTCTAAATTTATTTATATTGACATAACTAAAACAGAACAATGTGCATTAATTTATGAAAATACACGTGTATAAAGTGACACGTTGTTGCACATAAAACGTAAGATAAACACTCGACGTAATTACATTTTTGAATATCAGCTTTTTTGACGCTTTTGAAACATTCATAATTTTTTCTGCTTTGTATAACGAAAGGCAAAGGTTTAAGATCGTCATTTCGATGCGATCTTTTATGTATTTACGACATTACTGCTTTATTACAATAGTGTATCAGGAAATTATCAAATAACGATAGTCAACATAGTATCAAATCATGAGGAGGATTTTTCCACAGAATCATGGTACATCAAATTATTCCATAACCTAGAATCACGTTACTGAAAATAATTTTGTCACTAGAGTCGCGTACTAATAATTATATTGGATCAAATAATTTTGTTGCAAGAATCATGCTACATCAAATCATTTCGTCATAAGAACTATTATACATCAAATCATCATATCGATAAAATCATCATACATCAATTCAGACTTAGCACCAATTGTGTACATGGATATTTTTCGTGTAATCAGAGAACGTTGCTTGAACCATCCCGAATATCAAACTATATTTTTATTATGTACGCACCGTCCTAAAGCTGAATATTCCTCTTGAAATGTTTCTAGTCAGGAAGCATTAGTGCGTCATACGAGATTTTGGTCTCGATATAATTTTTTGAATTAAGCATCGCAAAATGAAGAAGTAGTACTGCAGTTTTAGGGAGGGTTCAAACTATACACAGCCCCCAGGAGAGAAACAATGTTGGGGTCTACGTAATATCATAAAAAAGTTTAATTGTATACATACTCTCCGATTTTGCTCACAATTTTCGCAGCTGTTGGTCGAATGCTTGAATTTTCAAAAATTTGTTCGGCTTTTCGTTCGTTAATTGTGTGCTGGTACTGTCTTAGTGAAACATTCCAGGCTCATGACTTTAGAGCCACGTTAATAATGAGACGATTTCACTTGATATATGACGTTCAATAAACATTGTAGTTACCGTAAGGTGACTTGTGAAATATTTTAATATTGTAAAGTGTTGGCACAGCGACTGCTATGGACATCATTGTGTGACATTGCATTGAAAGTTTCAAAATCTGTCCTGTTTTACTTTCTTGTGATTATTTCGAGAATATGTTTTAAGATGCTCTATTTCTAGTCAAACTCGATCTGAACTGATTGTACTGTACTCATACAAGATCGACACAATTATGGTTATGTGTTAGACTTTGGAATAAATTGGGTTATACGAAATTTTAAAATCGGAAAAATTCTTTTTCTGTCATCAAGGTCGTAAAATGTGAAAGTAGGCCCTGAGAATTTACTGAGTGCCTGATGATATAATTTGAAATTGTATTGAATTTATTGGAAATTGAAATGCATGTCACCAAGTACATTAATGGCTGATCTTGATTAAAGCATTATAAGTAAATTAATATTTAAGCTTGATCGCAAGTGAAAAATTAATTTGTAAGTTCTGAAATCACTGAATTAATTAATTATCAACATAACAGCAAATTCCATTTGTTTATCTTCATCCTAATTAATGAACACGCATGACACGCTGGTTGGTTAATGTCAGGAACAAAATCTAGAAATACACCCCGCTGTATTATTATGGATTGGATTATTTTGTGTACCAAAACCATGTTGAAAAAGTTGAAATGATTCCTCAGTCTTATGTTACAACTCATTTTATATAGCGGTTTCAGCGTTTATTAGGCCGTAGGCCTGTCGCCGATTTAACATTGCAGAACATCCACAGCTTGTTGCGGTCTCGAACTCACAACTCACTGATTCAAATTCCGGCCTCCTCGCTGATTCTGACCAGAAACTGGCGCACAGAGCTGGGATCGAACCCGCGCCTCTCTGCGCCAAACTTGGTACTCTGAACTTTAAACACTGGGCTATGTTAATGGAATTATTGTTAATTCATGTTAACATGTTAATTTCATTTTAATGGAATTACTATTATTAGATATATAAACGTACTTAGGATGAGTGTAGGTAGACTCATCCTAAGTGTGAACCTGGAGAATCATCGCGATTCAAACATCAAGGTTATGTGCAATACTGGAATTGGTAACAAAGCGGACCAAATAGACAGTGCAGCCGCGCAACATCTTTTAATGCGTTATATTGCTTCACTGATGAGAAACTTAATTAGTTCTCTAGTTTATTATAGCCGAATTTTCCACAGTGGAAAGTCGATGCAAAACTTCCCGTCGGTTCTCATCCACGTCAGCTCTAAATATAATACATAGGAGTACAAATTGCGCAATTTATACAATTTTTATTACAGAAAACCTAGCGTCAACATAAAATACCCATCTCGAGGTAAGTTCTGGTACGCAATCGTAATCGTTGTCGTAATTTTGTCACTCAATGACAAATTCCTAACAGTTGACAATGAATAAAGAAACAAATAATGATTATTTGATGTCACGCATACCTTTTTTAATTTTATAAAAGTGAAATTTGTACGCATTTTGATTTGATGGAAGAGATTTGATTGGTCAGTTTCAAAATTCTAAACCCGACGAGACTTGCACTTGAAAACGAATCGTGACGATGTCATAAAATTTGTGAATTTATTCAACATGAAAGTGTTGCCCTGAAAATTGAAGACTTTCTTGGTAAGCGTACAGATGTGTGGGTTGCCAAGGAAACGTTACATGTGATTGCCATGGAAACGTTGCTCATGGTTGCCATGGGGACGTTGCAGTTGTTTGGCACGCAATTAGTTGCGCACAGTCCCAGGTTTCCAGTATAACCTTGGCATCTTTGCTGACAAATCTCGGATCAACAATTGAGTAATAACCCAACATTTTCTTCAAATATCGAAAAGTTTTACGTTGGGTTGAAATATTAATTGATATATTATGCATGGATGTATAGATTGAATTCAACTCGAAATTATAGGGTAACATGGGGCAGCGAGCCCACTGCGGGTCACGGGCCCATAGCGGGTTTCTCGCTATGTATGGCAGATATTGGTCCGTGTTCTCTACCGCCGGTCGACAGTTTCACTGGGATGAAGTGTACGGATTTATGTTTTGCTAAGTGTTTGCGTTATTAAGTTATTCGTAAGCTGAAATGAA